GGTAGCGCATGCCTGTAATTCTGGTTACTTGGAAGGCTGAGGCGGAAGGATCGCCGGAGCCCAGCAGGTCGAGGCTGTGGTGGCTGGGAGCAGCCACTCCACTCCAGTCTGGGCCACAGAGTGAGACTCCAACTCAAAAATAAATAAATAAAAATAACAATCAATACCTTACACTTGAGTCATGATTTATGGGTTTGTTTGTTTTTTACCCCTGGACCCAGGTAATCCTCTAGCCTCTGCCTCCCAAAGTGCTGGGATTATAGGCATGAACCACCACACCCAGCTGATTTACGATTTTCACTGAATCTCATTCAGTAATCTGGAAATAAACACTCACTGCACCTTGCCTAAGGTCATACAGCTATCGAGCCCAACCTATAACACAAGTCAGTTGCACGTTTCACTCTACCAGAGTTGTCTCAAATCTATGCCACAAATCCACGCACAAAACTCCGTGCTGTTTACTCACTGGGGAGCTCTACAGACTAATCATATCTACAGCTACTTTGCACACAAGGTATACAAACGTGTGAATGTGTACAAGGTATACAAAGGTTTGAGCATGTTCTCTATACCCAAATTAGAAGCAGAAAATTAAAAAGGGGTACTGGTAGAGGTAGGTACAATACCAGAATCAAGGAACAACAGCTGCCAGAGATGACACAGACAGAACTCATAAAAGAATAAAGATTGAAGAACTAAAGTCAGACCAGAAATTTGAGGCCACCAAGGAAGCAAACATCTTTCCCTCCAGCATGGCCTGGGAAGGCCTTATAGTCATATAAGAATTGAGATGTGCAATCGTAATCCTAAGTCACCAAAAGGAATGTCAAATTATGAAAGCAAGCAAACATGTTATTGATTTTAAAGAGATTTCAGTGAAGATGCTTAAAATAATAGAATTTGCCAGGCACAGGGGCTGAAGCCTGTAATCCCAGCACTTTGGGAGGCCAAGGCAAGAGGATTGCCTGAGCCCCAGGGTTTGAGATCAGCCTGGGCAATTTGGTAAGACCTTGTCTCCACAGTAAATCAGAAGATTAGCCAGGCATGGTGGCACATGTCTGTAGTTCCAGCTACTTGGAAGGCTGAGGCAGAAGGATTGCCTGAGCCCAGCAGGTCAAGGCTGCGGTAGCCATAAGCATGCCCCTGCACTCTAGTCTGGGAGACAGAGTGAGACTCCAACTCAAAAAAAAAAAAAAAGAAGAATTCTAGTGCTTAAAGGAATGCAGCCATCTTGGAAATATGTCTGAGATGGAATGATCCTTCTCTACATAAGATATGTAATTACATACCTGAATTGGAGGGTGCTCCAAGACCAACAGATCCTAAAATTAGTTTTGCAAGTAAAGCAACCTACCAGACCATCTGCACCCTTGCAAGAGAAATTACAGATCACATTTAAGACCTCTGGGGAAACCCCCCTCTTGTAACACAAGGCAGTGTTTTCCACCCATCCCTGACTATTGCCACACATGACAAACATCCCAGATGCAGAGAAAAGCCAATGCAGTGGCTCACACCTGTAATCCCAGCAATTTGGGAGATGGAGGCGAAAGAATTGCCTGAGCCCAGGAGTTTGAGATGAGTCATACTCATGGACAGTAAGACACAAGAGGACACCACAGAAGACAGCCAGTTCTCTGCACAACAGTAAAATCAGGGAGGTTAGAGAGAAAGCTGAGAAGTAAATAGGGTAACAGAGAAACTAAAAGAGAAAAAGATACAAGCTTTTTAGAGGAATGATCCAGTAAGCAATTGCACCTAGTGCAAAATTTCTGCACCTCAACGCTGCTGCTAGGGCAGCACGGCCTCAAACCGACAGAATGTCTGAGCTTCTTCAAAGCATCTCCAAGGTTCTAGGGACTCTCAGGTTGGAAGAGCATTCTTCAAGAACAGAGCACCTGAGGGATGGGGTTTCTCAGCACCTCCAACAAGGTTCTGCTGAATATACAGATTTGAATAATAATTTATTTATGAGATGGAAAAAAAAAATCAAGGAGGATTGAAATGAGTTTTAAGAATCTAGCCAGGTTCGGTGGCTCAGCCTGTAATCCCGCGCCTTTGGGAGGCTGAGGTGAGTGGATTGCCTGAGCCCATGGGTTCGAGGCCCGCCTGGGCAGGCGAGACCTCATCTCTATAATAAACCCAAAAAAAAAAATTAGCCGGGCGTGGTAGTGCGCACCTGTAGTTCCAGCTACTTGGAAGGCTGAGGGGGAAGGATCGCCGGAGCCCAGCAGGTCGAGGCTGCGGTGGCCAGGAGCGGCCACTGCACTCCAGTCTGGACAACAGAGTGAGACTCCAACTCAAAAAAAAAAGAATCTAGCCCACAGAAATACTCATGCAAGTGCAAAAGGATATTCACTGGAGTGTTATCTGTAAGACTCAAAAACTGAAATCAATGTGCAAGGCCACTAACAGAGGACTGGCTAGTTAAATAAACTATTATGCATCCTTAAAATTAACACGTTACGGCTAGAACCTGTAATCCCAGCACTTTGGGAGGCCGAGACAGGAGGATTGCTTGAGCCCAGGAGTTCGAGACCAGCCTGGGCAACGTAGCAAAGCCTCACCTCTACAATAAATAAAAAATTAGCCAGGCGTGGTAGTGCACGCCTGTAGCTCTGGCTACTTAGAAGGCTGAGGCAGCCGGGCTCAGTGGCTCAGCCTGTAATCCCGCACCTTTGGGAGGCTGAGGTGAGTGGATTGCCTGAGCCCACAGGTTCGAGACCCGCCTGGGCAGCGAGACCTCATCTCTACAATAAATCAAAAAATCAGCCGGGCGTGGTAGCGCCTGCCTGTAATTCCGGCTACTCGGAAGGCTGAGGCGGAAGGATCGCCGGAGCCCAGCAGGCTGAGGCTGCGGTGGCCGGGAGCGGCCACTGCACTCCAGTCTGGGCGACAGAGTGAGACTCCAACTCAAAAAAATAAAAAATAAAAAAATAAAAAAATAAAAAAAAAAGAAGGCTGAGGCAGAAGGATTGTGGGAGCCCAGCAGGTCAACAATAGGGTGGCCGTGAGTATGCCACTACACTGTAGCCTGAGCAACTGAGTGAGACTCCAATTCAAAAAATATTATTATTATAAATTAAATAAAAATAGTTAATTAAAAAGTAGATCTGTAAGTAGAAAATATGCCACTAACATGGGGAGGACATGCACACTGTAAAATTATATGTAGAATAGAATGATCCTATTTTTGTAAAATAACAAAACTACATCTTTTGAAGGAAGAAAAAAAAAAATCAGTGTGCCTATAGTCCCAGCTACTCAGGAGGCTGAGGCAAGAAGATTGTTTGAACCCAGGAATTCGAGGCTGCAGTGAGCTATGATGGCAACTCCAGGCAGGGTGACAGAGCAAGACCAGGTCTGTCACCAAGTTGGAGTTTCACTCTGTTGTTCAGACTGGAAGGCAGTGGCATGCTCACGGCCACCGCAGCCTCGACCTGCGGCTCAAGCAATCTTTCTGCCTCAGCCTTCCAAGTAGTTGGAACTACAAGCATGTGCTACCACGCCTGGCTGATTTTTTATTTATTGTAGAGATGAGGTCTCGCCAAGTTGCCCAGGCTGTTCTCAGACCCGTGAGCTCAGGCAATCCTCTCATCTCAGTCTCCCAAAGTGCTGCAATTATAGGCTGGGATTAAAGAGACTGCCTGACCCAGCCAAAGTCTCTCTAAAAAAAAGCCAATGCAGTGGCTCACTCCTGCAATCCCAGCAATTTGGGAGGTGGAGGTGAAAGGATTGCCTGAGCCCAGGAGTTCGAGACCAGCATGGGCAATTTAGCAAGACCTCATCTCTACAACAAATCAAAAACTTAGCTGGGCATGGTGGCACGCTCCTGTAGTTCCTGCTACTTGGAAGACTGAGGTGGAAGGATCATCAGAGTCCAGCAGAGTGTGCCACTGCACTCCAGCCTGGGCAACAGAGTGAGACTCTGACTCAAAAAAATAAAATCAGGATAAGCATACAAACTACTAATAATGTTTTAACATGGGAATGTGAGGGAAAGGTGAATTCTTTTTTCTTTATTTCTTTATTATTTTTTTAAGCCGCCCACCTCAATCATTTAATGGTTTCTTCTTTTTTTTTTTTTTTGTTACACTGTGGTAATGTTTGCATTTCCACACAAAGTATACATTAGTTTAACAACAACTACACACACACATACATATAGGTGTTGCCAGAGGCATTCCCTTCCATCTCCATCTCATTCCCTAACTGGATACACATCCCAGCCTCTGCCCAGTCCTCCATCCCACCACCTCCGGCCCCAGCCCCACTTACAGATGCAGGCAGCGGCCAGCAGGCGACCGGCAGCATAGGGAGCAAAGCAGCTCGGGAAGACAGGCTGCACCATGTAGTTGGCAAAGGTGATGGCAATGATGGCCTGGCTGGTAGGCTCAATGATGAGCAGGGAAGTCCAGAGTCTGATGAAGGCAAGGAATCCCCCGAAGGCCTCCAGGATGTAGGCATAGCTGGCCCCAGACTTCTTAATGGTGGTGCCCAGTTCCGCATAACAAAGGGCCCCAAAGACGGAGAAGAGACCCCCGACAGCCCAGATGACCAGGGAGAGGCCAAAGGAGGCACTGTACATGAGCACGCCCTTGGGAGAGACAAAGATGCCCGAGCCGATCATGTTCCCCACAATCAGGCACACTCCGTTGAGTAGTGAGATCTCCTTCTTCAGCATTACCTGCTCAGGCCCTGGGCTGGCCCCGTCGCCCAAAGAGGAGGCATCCGCTTCATGCTGAGAGGCCGCCTCATACTTGGTACTGTCAGGCATTGTGGAGCAGGAGAGGAAAGCCTTCACCAGCCTCCTGGCATCGCCCTCTAGGGAAGAAAGATGGTGATATATAGTGGATGGTTGGCAACTACACAGAACCACTGCCTACCCCCACAGGGGCCAGTATCACGGGCAGCCCACCCACCACTACAGAGACCTCTCATTGCTTCCCACCTCCAAGTAACTCTGTTCCAGCTGGCTCATCCAAACGACCCCAACTTGAGTTTTGGTTTTTCTTTTTTTGAGTCAGAGTCTCGCTGTTTCACCCAGGTTGGAGTGCAGTGGCACACTCACAGTCACCGCAGCCTTAACCTACTGGGCTCAGGTGATCCTTCCGCTTCAGCCTTCCAAGTAGCTGGAGCCACAGCCATGCACCACCATGCCGGGCTGACTTTTTGATTTATTGTAAAAATAAGGTCTTGCCATGTTGCCCAGGCTGGTCTTGAGCCCTTGAACTCAGACAATACTCTCGCCTCTGCTTCCCAAAGTGCTGGGATTACAGGTGTGAGCCACCACACCCAGCCTGAATTTTTTTTTTTTTAAGAGACTGGGTCTCTGTCGCCCAGGCTGCAGCACAGTGGCATGATCATAGCTCACTGCATCCTCAAATTCCTGAGTTCAAGCAATCCTCCCATCTCAGCCTCCTGTGCAGATGGGATTATAAACGTATGCCACCGCACTAGGCTACCAACTTGAATTTTTAAGGGAAGGAACTCATTCCCCAAAGAGAAAGTACCTGTCTTCCTTCCTCTTTCCAGCTTACCAAATAGAAAACGAATTCCAGGTTCTATCTGAGCCTGAGTTTTCAGCCTTACCCCAGAACAGTCTGTCTTCCCTTCAGTTTCACTTCAGCTACCACTTAAGCTGAGATGCAACTTAAGGAACCAACCTTGCAAGCAGATAATCTATGGTATCACTTCACAACACTGCTCTTTTCCCCACAGGCTCTACCTAAGGCAAAACTTAAGGCTTCAAGCTGGGCTTGGTGGCTCAGCCTGTAATCCCGCACTTTGGGAGGCTGAGGTGAGTGGATTGCCTGAGCATGGGTTCAAGACCCGCCCGGGCAACTTGGTGAGACCTCATCTCTACAATAAATAAAAAAATTAGCCGGGCATAGCGGCGTGCGCCTGTAGTTCCAGCTACTTGGAAGGCTGAGGCGGAAGGATCGCCGGAGCCCAGCAGGTCGAGGCTGCGGTGGCCGGGAGCGGCCACTGCACTCCAGCCTGGGTGACAGAGTGAGACTCCAACTCAAAAAAACAAACTTAAGACTGCAGAGAGCTCCTGGAAACCCACAATCATCGCCCCACTCAAGGAGCACCCCTTAACCCTTAGCTGAGATCTTCTGCCCTGGCAATGCCCAAGCAGCACACCCCACCCTGAAAGAAAACATGCTGTTCTTCTCTTCACTGTTTTTCCTTTCCCAGATATCTCTCCCAGTCTCTGGTATTCCAGGCCTCCTACCATAAACCCTTCTCATTAGCAGAGTCGCACCACCCAAAAAAGTATGAATGGGAGAAAGGTGATCCCAATGAACAGCAGAACCTAGAGATGACTAAAGGCAGCTAATGACTACACCCCACCCCGGAGCTGCTGCTGGAGAAGTACCACCCAAAGCCTAGGCAAGGAAACAACTGAAGCCAGCGGCAGATGGTGGGAACACAGAGCCCAAGACAGCGGAGAGGAGCACGGGAGCCGCGAGCCAAGATGGCAAGTGGAAAGATACCAGGGCAAGAGGCGCTCGGGAGAGAAAGAGATTGGACAGAGCAGAGCAGCCAAGAGAGGGGTTAGTTAGCAAGGTGAGTGGGGGTGAAGGGACAGCATGGGACACAAACTCACTCCCGCCCTGGGTACAGTCAGGGAGAGACGTGCCTTCTAGGATCCGTGGTCCAACGCTCCTCCTTTCCAGCCAGCGGTAAAAAAGAAGGCCGACAAATGCCTATGAATTTAAGTCCAGGCGTGTGGAGGGGGTGAGGCGGCAGCAAAGGAAGGGATGAGGGAGGAGGAAAGGAGTGTTAAGCAACCTTCTGAGTCCAAAGTTCACTGGCTCTTCACATCTGCAAAAGGGGCAGCTAGGAGCTCTTGGCTCAGCACTTTCTGTGATAAGAAGGCGCTCTCTCAGGAATCTCCTTTGTCAGCTCTGCTCTGGGACTAGGGGCCCAGAAGAAAGGACGGCTGGGGGGCAGTTTCTGTAGCCCTGAGGAAGCTGTCCCAGAGCGAGTTAACTGAGGACAGGCCAAGAAGGAAAGCACAGCAGTCTGCCATGCCCCACCCTGGCCTCTCTTCTCTCTCACCCCAAGAACTTAAGAAAGACAGAAAAGTTGCACAGTGTGTGACACAAAGGCTTATTCACATGCTGAGATTAGAGGAAGTGTAAGAGCAGTCCCCACACCCCATGACTGGGCGTCCTAAGAGGAGAACTCTGTACACTTCTTCACGTAGAGAGATGGGTGACGGGTGACTGCCCCAAGCTTGGGCCATTTCCCCAAAGTCTGAGGCTCAAATGACTTCAAAGGAAACATGGTCAAGAGATCAAACCTCTGACCCCATCCCCACCTGACCCATGTGCCCTTTTTTTAATTTAGAGGTGTGTGGGATGGGGTCTCCATATATTGCCCAAGTTAGTCTCTCACTCTGGTCTCAAACAATCTTCCTGCCTCAGTCTCCCAAAATTCTCAAATTTCAGGTGGGATTACAAGCATCACCACCACAGCCTGTCAGCCCTTTCATCCTTAAAAAAACATACAGCCTCTGGGAGGCTGAGGTGAATGGATTGCCTGAGCCCACGGGTTCGAGAACCACCTGGACAAGCAAGACCTCATCTCTACAATAAATCAAAAAATTAGCCGGGTGTGGTAGCGCGCACCTATAGTTCCAGCTACTTGGAAGGCTGAGGCGGAAGGATTGCCAGAGCCCAGCAGGTCGAGGTGGCAGTGGCCGGGAGTGTGCCACTGCATTCCCATCTGGGTGACAGAGTGAGACTCCAACTAAAAAAAAAAAAAAAAAATACAGCCTGTAATCCCAGCACTTTGGGAGGCCAAGGCGAGTGGATTGTGTGAGCCTGCAGGTTCGAGACAAGCCCAGGCAACTTGGTGAGACCTCATCTCTACAAGAAGTCAAAAAAATTACCCGGGTGTGGTAACACGCGCCTGTAGTTCCAGCTACTTGGAAGGCTGAGGCAGACGGATCGCCAGAGCCCAGCAGGTCAACGCTGGGGTGGCCTTGAGCGTGCCACTGCACTCCAGCCTGGGTGACAGAGTGAGACTCTGACTCAAAAAAAAAAAAAAGAAAACGTACTAGGGTCAGGAGAGGTTGGTCGCTCAAGTCCGTAATCCCAGCACTTTGGAAGGCCAAGGCGAGGATTGCCTGAGCCCAGGGGTTCGAGATCAGCCTAGGCAACTTCGTGAGACCTCATCTCTATAATAAATCAAAAAATTAGCTGGGCATGGTGGCGTGTGCCTATAGTTCCAGCTACTTGGAAGGCTGAGGCAGAAGGTCGGGGCTGCGGTCGCCATGAGCGTGCCACTTCACTCCAACCTGAGCGACAGAGTGAGATTCCAACTCAAAAAAAAAGAAAACATACTGAGGGGACAACCCCTTCGGGTCCCATCCCAACGTGGGAGCTTTTCTGTCCTCTCAATAAATCCTGCTTTCTCAAAAAAGAAAAGAAAAGAAAATATACTGAGATCCTTGCGATAAGCATAAATTCCTATAAACACCTTCCCCAAATACAAGTTAACTTCACTTTCCTAATAATATGAGGAAATAAGATTTCACTGAGCTATACTGGACAGACAGGCCCAGAACAGGAGAAGGAGGCTGAGCATTTTTTGGAAATCACATGGTTTATTCCATCTTTATAGTCTACTTTAAACCTGGCATTCTGGGTCTCTTTTACCAAGGGAAATACTACTTGTTCTGAAATTCAGTTGTCTGTTCCTTCTCACAGCCCTTCTAACCCTCTTTGGTTATTCTACAACCAGAGAACAGAGATCTAACATTCCCTGGGAGATTTTTTTTTTTTTTTTTTTTTTTTGAGT